AGCAAGGCTGTGTGTTGTAGTTCACCTCAACCGTTCAGTTTAACCATATATACTTATATCGTGTGTTCCAGGTGTATCACATGAAGCCGGTCAGTCGGGTGCGTGAAGGTGCTCAGACCACTTCACACGACCCCTGACCTTTACTGCCCGACCCCTTCACGAGACGCTGGATGCTGCAAGCATGGATGTCCACATGCACAACGGCCAGACGCTTCACTACGGCCTGAACGACGGTCCTGTGAGTATTAACCAGGAAGCGTATCGTTTTTACATGAAGCTGATTATGATGACGACAGCCGAGCCAAACCCTACCTCATTTATGATCAAGACATTATACATGAAGGAAATAACCCACTGATTCATGCCAGAATCACACAAGCAGAGAAACCAGTTCCTTTGTCTTTAAAGCATGGCACGCTCATTGTGTTTCAGCGGACAGGTGTGGTGTGTGTTCGAGAGCCTTTACTCACTTACGCTGAAGCTTCAGAGGAACGCGAGTCTGTAGTAAAGACAAGAATGCAGTCTAACAGCATGCGAAACATTAACACATCACACGATCATCTACACAAAACCAGCAGGTTCTGAACGACACTCGGATGGTTTTAAGATGAGCATCACTATCATCACCGCTCACACTTAGGATTAGGGATTTCAACAAACCCCGAAGCATGTGCGTTTGACACGAACGATTCCTGTTGCTTTAAACGAGCAGACACATGATTACAATTAAGTCGGTTTTATTGGTGAAGGTGGACATATAAATAAAACAGGTGGAAGCATCCCACAGATGCACACGGAACGAGAACCTCAGCCATATTTAGAGACCAGACGATCACAAAAACCTGATTCATGCAAGACGGTAAGAATCCACCTAGCAACCATTTAGAAACTCTTAGCAACCACATTGCAATCAAGATCATTATAGTAAAAAAACCCGAAAAACTAAACCCATAGTAAAACATCACTTGAAATAAAAAAACGTAAATAGTATTTAGAATTATAAATTATACTTTTAGATCATATTTTAATAATAATACAATACATTAAATAATATTTTAATAACTAAAATAAAATAATTTTAGGCATAAATAAAAATGACAAAAACGTCACTACACTATTAAAAATTATTAAAACTTTACAATTAAAATTACACAGAAGTCAAAATATTAATAAAACCTATAATAGTAACTTTTCCATGTTCAAACATCACTCACGTTTTCTTCAGAAAACATAAGTCTGCATTATTTTAATATCTTTTACAATTAAGATTTGTAATCTTAAAAAAAAAAAAAAAATCCAATGAAAAACATGCATTTAAATATAGATTTTTTTAACCATACACCGAGTGTGCAGAATGAGCTCTTCCTGTTGCTTGAAATAAGATGTTTATTGATTATTCAATTAATTTTGTAATTGTGTACAGAAACTTTTTTTTTTTATCCATTTCCACTCTTGGCAGACTTTTAGCAAATATAGTAGGTCATCAGGGAACTAAATGCATACAAATTGCATACTGTACATAGCTATACATATAAACTCTGTACAAATAGTAGTATGCATACCATCTTAATTATTTTGACATACTACATTTATATGGCTCAAAGCGTTCTGATGGATTGATGCTCTCTCTCACTCGCACTCAATCATTTCCTCATGACATGATTATGCTGATTGTAACTTGATAACTGCTTGCACAAAAGACTCCAGACCTGTGTTTGAGATAAAGGAATAGCACTCAAACCATCAGCTGTGAAGAAAAGCTGGTCCTGCTTCTGTCTGCTGCTTGTTTTCTGAATATCTAATGGCACAGACTAAAAGCAGCCCTCAAAGGTGATGCAATGTGTGCGCAGGCAGCATGGCTTACAGAGGGGCTGTTCAGGGTGTGTTCGCGGGGCGATGAACAAGCAGCCCACTGTTCACACACCCCACACACCACCCCACACAACACACACACCACACCCCACACCCCACACACACCCCACACACACCACCCCACCCACACACACCCCACACACACACACACACACACACACCCAGTTTGAGCAGAGAGAGGCATCCACCTCTGAAACACTCACACTGACAGCCGACTGATCTCTGGAGGTCACAAAGCACATGCATTGTTTAAATCAGCAGGTTTATGATTATGGGAAACAAATTCAGTCGTGTAGACTGCAGTGCATAATGCATCATGTCATAAACACACTAGAGACTCCCACACTATTTTCTCAGCTGAACCCATTTGAGCTAAAATATTAGATTTTAAGATAACACCTTACAGTAAGGTAAACATTAGTTCATTATATTAGTTAACATGATCAATACTAGTATAGCATTCATAGCAAGTTAAACATTCACTAATACACAAGTTGCATCTGTTAATGCACTAACATTAACATTTTTATTAACTAACATTAACAAAGATTAATGAATGCTGTAAAAATAAAATAGTTCATGGTTAGTTCATGTTTGGTCATGCATGATAAAAAAAAAGAGACCTTATTGCAAAGTGTTACTGATTTTAAGTTAATATTTAATTAATTTTAAATGACAGCCTTTAAATCAACAGGTTTATGATTATAGGAAACAAATTCAGTCGTGTAGATTGCAGTCAGTGCATAAAGCATCATGTCATAAACGAGTTAAACCAGAGATTCCCAAACTATTTTATCAGCTGAACCCAACTGAGCTAAAATACTTACCTTCATTTTAATAATTTAATAACATCTGCATATTTGCATGTAATTTTAGTAAATAATTTTAGCAAATAATTTTAGTAAGTGTTCCGTTTTGATTATTATTATTTTTTTAATTTTACAGTAGGACCATATGACATTATGATTTGTTTTTAGTTTAAAAATATGAATTTATTTTAAGTCTATATTATGATTTAAATATATATATATATTTTTATCAACTCTTGAAAAGTTTGGGAAACCCAAAATTAGCAACAAAGTGATTTGCAATTTAAAATGCATTTTTTAAAACAAAAGAATATTACTATTGTAAAAATAATAATAATAATAATGTAATCAATAATATTGTAATAAGTAATATTAATATTACTATTGTAATAACACTTTCATTATAAAAAAAAAATCAAAAACATTAGCATACAATTATAATTTTTTAAAAATATTTTACAGAAAACTTTTCACGAAAAAATGCAGAGTTACCTATAACTATACATCAGTAGAAAGATATAGTTTTATTGTAAAATATTAAACAAAAAAAAAGACAGTAATTTCTTAATTTTTGTCAGGAGGTATGCAAAATCAAAAATGGAATATGAAATGCGAACCTTTTATGCAGCCACTGTAAATAAAACCTCATGTACACATAAAAATGTTTACTTCAAATTTCTTTAGAGAGAAGTATTATTTATCCTATTTTTACCCAAAATAGGAAGTGAGCGTTACAGAGCGCTATAAACACATGTAATGTTTAATCCATACTGGACTCCAGAGGGCGCCGTCACGTGGAAACTCCACATGTGCGTCACAGAAGTAACAGAACCGATGACGCTCCAGGAAATCAGTCACTAATATGGAGAAAGACATGCGGCTCTCGCTGTGACTGAATAAAAAGATAAAAAGAAACGCTTTAACTGATTAAACATGAAGACAATAAACACATGACGGCGACAATATACGGTCTATCAGTGTTCTTCATGCCATCTCGGGTATTTTTTTATAAGAATAAAGTCTATTTAGAATGCAATGCTAATCGACACGGCCTTTATTACAGTATAGAATATATTTTGTCTCATTCTGTGATAAAAAGCCACATCGGATCAGATAATGAAGTTATTTCAGACACTCGAATGATGTTGCGGAGTGAAAACATGTTATAATGTTCTCTTGTTGGTTTATAAATGATTCTCATGATGTTTGGCGCGTGTTTGCACGTTAGAAGCGACTCAAACTCTCAGATGAGCAGCATTTACTACATATATTTATGCATCACTGCAAATATTTAATTAAAAATCGGCCAAAAAAAAAGCGTTGTGACTCAATCGCAAGTCAAATTGCGATTTCGGTTTTATTTCGATTAATCGTGCAGCCCTAACTGTTACTATTAACTCAAGAAATATTATTATTATCAATGTTGAAAACATTTGTGCTGTAATTTGAATTGGCTTTTATTTGTATATTTTGAGTTTATTTATTATTTCCATATTGTTGCTCTTTGTTGGATTGATTGCTTCTATTGCCCTCATGTGTAAGTCACTTTGGATAAAAGTGTCTGCTAAAGAAAGATACACACACACACACACACACACACACACAGATTTCTGAAGATCATGTGACACTGAAGACTGGAGTAATGATGCTGAAATTTCAGCTGCGCATCACAGGAATAAATGACATTTTACTGTATATTGACATAGAAAACAGCTATTTTAAATTACAATAATATTTCACAATTTCTACTGTATTTTTGATCAAATAAATGCAGCCTTCATGAGCATTTGCCCGGTAGTGTACATTACTTACTTGACTCTTTCTCTCTCTCTAGGATGATGATCTGCAGTTCCTCAGTCTGGAGGAGCGGGAGTGTATTTTGTTCTTTGAGGAGACCATCGGCTCCCTGGAGGAGGACGATGAGAGGACAGGAATATCCGCAGGCGACCACAGGCTTGCGGTGGAGCGTCCGCTCTCATACACTACAGCTCAACATCCCAGCCCGGTAGATCATGATATAATTGACCTGGTGCACCCTACACCCGATGCCAGCAAACAGAAAGACACTCTGCCCGTCATGCCAGGTACCTGAACACAACTACTCCATATAAACCACAGAAAACGTTACAATTCTGCTTTTAATCAAAATAAAACTTCATCCTAAACATGCAAAAAGCTGTGCTCTGAGAAGTTAGTAACTGCTCACTATACTATAGTATATATGCACACTATATAGTGCTTACAAATTTTTTTTTAAACAATGCATTATGCAAAGGTGAAAGTTCTGCAATAAAGCATCATCACATGACTTCAAGTGCATGCTGTATTCAGCAGTGAAGTCCAAATGCAATCTTAAAAATGTAAACAATCCAATGAAAAACATGCATCTCCACATTCGGCAATTTTGAAATTGCACAAAGAATTTGTTTAGCAAATGCAGTCGGCCATCAGGGAATTTTGTGCGTACAATTTGCATATTGTTACACATATACACTGTGTAAACAGTAGGAGTAGGATGCTAGGCTATTCCAAACATAACCAGAGGATACAAGAAGATGTCAAATCAGCAATCATATCCAACATGTTGCTTCTTTAGCTGTAATAAGGACAAAATACTGTACATGAAACTATGTTTTAGAGTGTTCAAGCTAATCTTCAGAAACATTGTACAGCAAAAGACCAGACAATGGGTCACATTCACTAATAATTGCGTAGACTATTTTTTATTTATATATGCACAGGAGAACGTATTACAAATTCATAACCAGTTTTAGTTTAGTATCATTTATATACCATTATAGTTATTGAATTAGCTTTAATTTTTATATTTTCAGTTTTCATTTTAATTTGTAGTTACAAATTAACAATTAATTTTAGTAATTTTGTTGCATGCTTTTATCATTTGTATCATTATAGTTTTTTTGGCAACACTTTACAATAAGGTCCCATTAGTTAACATTAATGCATTAACATTAATAATGAGCAATTTGTTACAGTATGTATTAATCTTCTGTAGTTAATGTTAGTTAAAAAAAACAAGAATTAGATCAGATCTATTAAATAAAATAAAACGACAGCTTTTTTTTAAATGTAAAATGTTGAAATTAATATTAAGATTAATAAATGCTTTAGCAGTATTTTCTATTGTTAGGTCATGTTATCTAAGGTAGTTAACCAATGTTAACAAAATGAACATTTATTGTAATTTTTGTTTGTTTGTTTTTAAAATTAGTATTTAGGTTTAATTTATCCGATCAGAGTCATTGAATATGGAGTATCTGCCAATACAGAGTCCCGATCCGATACTTGTATATTCCTAGTATTTGGTGCACAATTCAGGTACATTAAAGTTAATTTAATCAATCCAATGTATACAAAGTTGTGCAGAGAGTAAAAGTAATATTTGGAAAAAAAAGTGTCTGCTTAAT